TTTAATTCATTTTATTTATAATGATTTTTTTCATTCGCAGTTTATGTACCTACATACTTATCAAACAAGTTGTTTTTTTTTTTGTTAAATTCCTACTGCCAAAAAGTTAGTAATAATATTTATTTTAAAATTAGTACCCATTCGCCAACAACATATGTATACTAACTGTATGTATGTACATCACAACCACAGCCGTCTCCAATTACATCTAAGCTTACCAAATCAATTAACTATGAAATAATTAATAAATCCTTTTAACAGCAGTCACTAAATTACTTAGTTAACCATAAAAACTGCTATAAATTAACTTCTCAACTGCTAACATATCTATTTATATATATAGCTACATATTTACAACAACAAAAAAAGATAATCACCTGCTTTATTGCTAAATTACAAATAAATTAGTAAATGTGAAAATTGAAAGTCAACATTGAGACATACTATGTATAATAATTAATTATAACAATAAAATAAAATTTTTTTTCAAACACTTTTTGGTGCACTCGCAAAAAAAAGATTAAAAATTTATAAATATACCATTCACAAATATATATAAATATTTATTTATATATATATATATATATTTAATAACTAGATTATTTGAACTTTTCCTTTCACACTTTTTCACACATTCAGAATTAGTTGGCCTATATACATACATATAATATATCCACGCTTAAGCAACATAAATATATATCGCTGCTGATGTAGTACACCAAAGCAAATCACGCAAATTAACCGATTTGTATACCAATCTTACTTTAAATCAAATTCAAAACTTATGGCATTGTATCATGATAAATTAGGAGATTTTATTTACAATTCGATTTCAATGTTACTGTGTAATAAGACAATTTTTTCATAGTTCTAACTAAATTAGGAATAATGCAAGAAATATTCTTTTTTTCTAACTCAAAAAAAAAAAAAATTTCTAACTAAAAATATTAAAAATTAAAAAGTAAAATAATAAATTTTATTAAAAATTTAAATAAAAAAAAGTTTTAGGTTATCTAAAAAAAACAAAACAAGCAGAAAATTATTTAATGATGCAAAAAACGCCCTCCCAAGCATGCTCTCTCTCGCTCGCTCTCATACGAAGTATAAACGTTGAAAAATCGTACTAGAATAGTTGGAATTAAAACGAAAACACAGCCAAATGAAAACAAACAAAAAATTATTCAAATATATTTTTGTAACGGATTAGCAAATTACTGCTACTTCTACTACAACTACTACTTAATAATACTACTCCTACTCGTACTAGTACTAACAACAATCATTAATCCTTAGGTCTCGCTTTTAGTTTGAGCTCCTTAAATTCTATCATATTCACCGCATATAATGTATTTTAACTCCTTTTGTTTTTTATTCCGTATAAATTAATAACTATAAAACAACTTTGCTAGCGGTTATGCATTTTAAAATCATTTAACAACTTGTCAATGCCAGCTGTGTTAGCGAAAAAAAAAATAGAAAAAATACTTTTTTTACACTCTTACTACATTTTGATATTTTATCTTATAATATTATTTTGTACTTCTCCAGCATCATGGAAAAAATAAAATATTCATTAACCAGCATTAAGAATTTTTGCCCTAAACTATTTCTTTTTACCCTTAGGCTGCAGAGTTTCACAGTGTTTTCATTAATTATCTTCAACAGTTTGTTTGTTTCGATTTATTCTCATTTATTTAAGTAATTAATTGTTACATTTATTTTATTTTATTTTTTGTTTATTTAATAATTTATGATTGATTTCTTTTTTATTTTAATATTTAAATATTATATTTAACAAATGCAAGCTTTATTCGTTTTTTGTATGCTTGATATTTATCTGTAGAAAAACCTTTCGAATGGCAAACACTTTAACGGAAAACTTATAATTATATGAGAAACATTTAAAATTATTATTAAGTAATTTCATTAAAATTCGAAAATTGCATTAATAATTCGAGAATAAGTCGGTCGACTCAGCAAAAGTGCAGTGGGACAAAAGCTTGACTAGTGAATTACTGTTTATTAAACTTAATAAAAGCTTATGATGGTGTTTAAAAAATTTCCGTCAAATGCTTATAATTATGTAGAATATTATATATTAATTATAAAAGTGTTTCCGACTCGAGTTCAGCAAAATCAAAAAAAAAAAAAATTGTGTAAGAATTAATCTTTTACATAATTCAAATTTACATTTCAAAGTCTCAATTTTGTTTGCTGGTACCACAGATTAGTCAAAAGACCAACACTGCTATGTGTTGTAATAGTTTAGTGGTCGAACCACAAGGACACCACTTAAACTTCCTAATCAAAAATTTATAACGAATAAAAAAAACTATTTTTGAGTTGGTTTTGACTTTAGATAAAACATTTATTTGGGAAATATTGGACAAGTTTCGAATATCAGGTATTCTAATTTTTAAATACGTAACTACAAGTATTAAAAAAGAAAGTCGCCAAAAAAACAGTAAAGTAAGAAATATTTACTTCTGCAGTTTTCAGTCTAGTTTTATAAAGACAAAGTAAAATGTTGCAATATTTTCGTATTTACTTAAGATAACTCAAAAGCATAGCAAAATATAAAAAATGTTCTCTTCTTACATCCATTTCGTGGTTTCGTCTGACATCTGTCAAACTTAATTGTCAAACTTGGACTCAAACCTAATCCATATAAATTCTACCCCAATGGGTTCTTGAGCAATAAATAGTGGATGGCGAATTTTTAACCAAACGTTTCTTCAGCGACGAGGCACATTTTACACTCTGAAGACGCGTGAATAAGCAAAATTGACGCACTTGGAGCCCCGGGAACCTTCAACTTCAAAAAAAAAAACTTTCTGTCTCTCATGAGACAAAAGTTCTATAAGGTAGTTTCGCTTCGAAATTTTCGACACTAAACGTGTTTGCTCAGATATGTTCGATCTTGACACTTAAAAAATATTCAAATAGCGATTTTCACATTATTTTTGGGATTAATTTGTTAGATGCTTTTTTTGTAAGTAAAATGGAAAGAGCTTTCATTTTTTACTTTTTTTCGAAATTAGAACTCATAGCTTTTCTTTGGTCATTAGCATAACCCAGGAAACTGCGGGGCCGATGAGCTGACTGAGTAGGGAGCAATCATAACCCTGGTTAAGACTTCACCAGAAGGACCAACTACGTGCAATTGATCGAAGTGAACTAAGTTTTTACTCCTTCCAAACATGACTTCTATAAGAATAACAACCGGTTAATTAACCGGGCACTGAGGAAACTCATAGTAAAGGGCTATTTCTCAAAAAGCTTTTCTGCCACTGCCCAGCTGTCAGTGCTTTCCTTCATCGATTTCCTGGAAATTTCTTCTTCGATTGCTCAGAAGAGCATGTATCTCTTGGCATCATTAATCTTCTTCCTTCGTAAAATACACCAAATGGTTTGAGCTGCAGTTCTGTTCTGTTCTGTTCTGGTCCAACATAGGTATTACCACGAGCTCATGTTATCCTAACTAACTGAATACAGTTTTCAAAAGAGTTTAAGAATTCAAGCGACTTAAATGACTTTTAGCGTAATTATGAGATTTTTATAATGAAATTGCACTGCTAAAAAACTGTAAAACTGATTTGCATTCAAATGTAGATATAGCAAATCCAGTCAGCATCTTATCTTCCTGAATTTGCTTGACGTTCCAAAGAACGGCGAGAAATGATGATCTCAGATGATCTTGACCGATGTGCACATCACTAACATCTCTCAACTGCTAAAATTTGTCCAGAAATTTTTGTATTGCGGTCCGAAAAGGTGCTTTACATTGACCGAAAAATGTTAAGGTTTTACGAGCCGTCTCTGTAAGGTTTTGATCATTTTTGTAGTGAATTTGAATCATATCAATATGCTGTAGAAGCGTGTGTCATTCTATTTTTATACCGGCGCAGTTTTTTACAACTTCAAATGTGAGATCTATCAGAATAGCAGGCTATTCAAAATAACACCTCTAATTGAAAAACCCTTTTATTAGTATTATAATTGGCTCTTTGTAGCCACTGCAGCGATTTTCGGCCGAGCTCTTCCTCCAATTTGCGGTTTTGTGTCTTGCTGTTTTTTCCAATGGAGAGACCTACAGTTTATACTAAACCGCCTCCGAACGGCTGATGGTTTTTTTTATCATGTTCTTATTCATGTCCGAAATACACTCAGAGGGGTGTACGTTCTCTGCTGAGGGGCGACCGCGGCCGCGGAAAACTCAGATCCAAAAAAAATAGGAAATACCCATCACAGGGCGAAAAATATGGGTGAAATAGTTCGACAGTCCAGAAAATTTCCATTTATAGTGCAGGGAAGAATATTTTTAAATTAATGCCATAATAATTTATTTTTAATAAATAACATATTAGCATATGATTAAGCTATACCCTAAAGTTATGCGCAATGCGGTAAGTAATATTTAAAGTATAATCAAAAACTTCCTTAAAATTACATAGCGACTAAATCATGAAATAAATTTGATTGCTTACCATAACAGAAGAGATTTTGTTAAATTATTTGCCTTCGAAAAGTTTTCCAACTGCTTTTTCCCCAAATATATACATATTTGTTTAACCAAATTTCATGTATTAATGCGATACAAAAGTTTCTTTTCGTCAACAAATTTTATATGCAAATAAAATACAAACATAAAATAAAACTTTTTGTTATGTTTTTGATAAATTACACAGAATTTTTCTTAGTTTCCTGAAATGTTATTTACTCAGTTACTCTTTTTAATTTTATTAAAGATAAAAATATTTTTTACTACTAACAATATGATATGCCATATTTTCAGTAAAATTTTCATTTTCCTTTTTGCTCTGATATATAAATATATTCATAGACTTTTGCAAAGTTTATAAAAAAAAAACAAAGAATAAATAATTAAAATCTGCCAATAAAAGTTGTCTAATATATTTCTCTTTTCTTCATGCGCGCGCCTGCTGCCCTACTAATCTACATACACACATACATGTTTACTCTCCCGGAATGGATAACAGGAAATTACTCACGACTCGCATGTGAGATACAATTCGTGCGTTCGATGGGTTACTATCTCATTCAAATATATATACCCTCTGGACTGATCGTTATTATATCATGGGTATCATTTTGGCTAAATCGTAATGCCACACCGGCTCGTGTGGCGCTCGGTGTTACCACCGTGTTAACAATGACTACACTGATGTCATCAACAAATGCAGCATTGCCAAAGATTTCGTATGTCAAATCGATTGACGTATATCTAGGAACATGCTTCGTGATGGTCTTTGCCAGTCTTTTGGGTAAACTAATTTAACGATAAAAAAACAAAAAAAAGCAAACAAAGAAAACACATATCTACATTGAGTGTTCTAAATGTTGTTCACATTATCATAATGATTTTTATTTTTATGGATTTATTTTCACATTACATGCTAGTATATATACATACATACATAAATATTTAAATGTTTTGTTTAAGATTTCATCTTTTAAAAAATTTATTAATTAATTATTTATTTATAAACATTTCTCGCTTTTAAGTTTATTATTTTGTACAGAAAACCCAAGCGTAGAGCGAAAAAAAGCTCCACATTTTAAATGTGTTTTTGGTACGACTTATATTATGTATTGATTATTGAATAAAATAAACATTTTTAGAAATTCATAGCCATCTTTTTAACATGGTCCCGTGCGACACAATTAGATTGCTCGCTATTAGATTTTCAATTTCAGTTAAAAAAAAAAAGGTCAATACAATTTTGCTTTCATTTCAAGACATACTTTATAATCTTATTTTTTTGAGACTTCCAGGAATCCGTAGAAATAATTGAAACCGTTAAACAAAACTTGGTTCTGACGGTATTTAGTTTGGGATGAACAAAATGAAAAATAAATAAATAAAGTGAACAATATTTTTTTGCGAATGTATGGTCAACTATCTAACACGGTCCCGTGCGACACAAACAGATATGAGATTGGAAACCGTTTCTTCTGTAGCTTTCAATATCTTATAATCATATGTTCGTACCAAAAATACATATATAAAAAATTTTCCAATAATTTTTTTTTTGCTTAATTGCGGAAAGAAGGAAAACATAAAGTATTATGCAATTTCATGCTTTTAAATTATAAATTAATTTTACTTTTTTTATAGTATTGTTTTCTTTTATTTAAATTTATATTTAAATATATAAAATCTTTGTGTAAAAATGCTTTCGCTTCAATCGATTCCCGTTCACCAACTTTTAAACTTTTTCACACAATTTCAAATAACTAAAAAAAAAATATTTTAATCACTTTCAAAACTCTCACTTTATTTATTTAATTATTATATGAAACTTTTACTATACAGATTAAGGGAACATGCATATTTTTTCAACTAAAAACTAACAGAAATAAATAAAAATAATTTTTTATTATTCTTAACTATTCAACACCTTCCAAGAAAAACAAAAAAAAATGAAAAAACAAAACAATACCACTACAGTTCAAAACAAAATTAAACTAAACAAAACCCAATCCAAACCAAACAAAAAATCTATTTTTTCGTATTTGTATGTTATTGTTAATTTACAATGGAAATTATCCATTGGAAGGCAAATATTATCATTTGGAAAGAAAACGAATGTAGATTCATTGATACGCGCTTCTTACGGTAAAGGCTGCATAAAGTACTCACCTCATTAACATACGATCCCTTCATTTCGCATTTCAAAGCCATATGAAGGTAATTTTTTTTTTCGTTTATTATGCATTACAATCACATCTATTTAATTATATACATACATATATAATATAACACAATCACCATAACTAACCATTAAACAGTGTATATAATTCTCCGCGCAAAAAAAAAAAATGAAAATATTAAAAAATTAAAGAACAAATAATACAAATATTTTAGGAGCACTCAAGCACTCTTCAATAAAAAAAACAACACTAAAATAATGGAGTAGCAAAATTATAATCGTCTAACGGCACTGCTAATATAAATATAAAGCAAAACACCCAAATGGTACCCAGATATTAATATACGCCCAGCTTCAGTAAACCAACAACTGTACAGCAAAGCAATATACGTTTGTATATACATAAATAAAATGGCGCACATATGTATTGTACATATCTACATATAATATATATTAACGCACTCAAAGAAAAAAAGGCTTGCTGTTTAATAAGCTTTTCTGCGTTAAGAATTGATAATGCCACAAAGCACATATCAATTCATGACACAGAACAAAGCTCAGTTTTCTTGTGAAAGCTTAAAAGCTTATGATTTATAAAATTGATTTTCAATATTAGTTTTTTGCAGGTGTCAGTTCCGCTCATTATCTTTAAAGTAAAGCGAACAATAAGGTAAGTAAAAAGAGGTTAAAACTAAAACTGAAAAAAAAAATTGTAATAATATCGGCAACTAAAGATTTATATAGACTCGAAATTATTAGACGAGTTCAATGAAATCCCAAAGTAGATAGGTAGGTAGATGTAAAGTTGATAACCAGTGACCAGGTTCTAGGTTTTCAGGAGTCTCATTGTAATACTACCAAGTACTCTGTGAAATACCCTGTGAACTTAGTAAAGTTAAATACTTTAATATTAGCAACTCGATATCGTCAAGAAATACGGTGTCGATTATTTTAGAAAGTTTTTCTATACAACCCTTTGCAAACACCTCTTCTTCTCCACCTTCTTCAGTAGTCGTTAAGTCGATTTCCCATTAAAGTTCTTACTAATAAATTTATATGCGACCCACACTCAATCCTGGCCACATTTGTTTACTTATTGAGTAATGTGGTATATATAAATATATTGCCTCTTTACCTGGACCATATTTGTAAAGTGGCGCCTAGTAGTTCATCTGCCTCGCAATTACCGCGGCTATCGCTCATGTAATGAAACTCATTGCAGATTTATCGTGAAGTACGTTGTTAGTCCTATAAATAGGCCAAGACCTTCGTTCACGACCTTAGATTGAATAACTTCAGTCATTTTCAGAGCCCCTAACTAGTATAAATGTATAAATATTTTTTGTAATGGAACCTTTTTAGATGGAACCAGAAGGCAGCCACCTCTGTCTGAAAAACATTGCAGTCATCTGGTAAGCGAAGGCGAGTTAGGTCGAAGAGACACTTTTTTTCAAATTTTTAAATCGATGTATGTCAGAAATGATGTCTCTTGACAAGAATGTTGTTAAATAAATTTTACAACCTTTCCAGGTATTGAAGCGATAAAGAATTTTTGAAAAATCCTCACAACGTTCAGCTAGGTCCGAGTATGTTTTTTTTGTATTCCACAGGGAATGACAATAATTTTTAAAATGGCATAAGTATACGAAGTGTGACAATTAACTAATGAGACTGATTTAATAAAATGCGTATATTTCCAAAATAATCTATAACTCTGTCAATCCCTTTAAAGTAGTCCCCTTGGGCAGCTGTATAACGATTCCTGCACGTTTTTCATGCTTCGTAACATTTCTGGAACGCTCCCCGTCACGGCCACCTGGTTTCCTCAATCGACTCAAAATGGGTTCCTTTGACCACACATTTTATTCTAGGGAACAAAAAAAAGGCACAGGGTGGCATATCGGGCGAATAAGGCAGTTGTTGCAACACGGCGATCCTTTTAGGGGCCGAATTCTGGCACATGCTGACAGCGGTGTGGCACGGTGCGTAGTCGCGCAAAACTTTCTCATACCAAAATCGCCGGTTAAAGCTTGTCGGACTGTTTCACGGTTCATACCCGCATCTCAATTGGTCTCTCCCTCTGCTTTCACGCCCCTCTATGAACTCTTTATGCCATCGAAACAACTGGGCATGACTAAGAGCACTATCACCATGCACTTTTACAATTTTCGCCTACTTTTTCGAAGCTGTTTCGCCCAATTAGGCGCAAAATTCTATCGCGACGCTTTGCTCTTGATTTCGTTTTTCCATTTTCGTGACGAGCACCAAGAACATGCGTCTACTCAACACGACACAGCAGGCGAACTAAATAAGCTAAGCGACAGCAAATATATCAATGGAAAGGGGAAGGATGTCGGAAGAAGGATGCCGGGAGAAGGAATACAACAATCGCAACAATATAATCAATCTCATTACTTAATTGTCACACCTCGTAAATAGCATAGTCAGTAGTGGCCGCAGAGTATTTTAGTCCTACATTTCCGACATGAAAATCATTGATCCTCACAAATTTGTAGGTCTCACCAGTGGTTGGAATAACATGTAGATAAACACCACCAATTGGAGTAGGTGCTCAGCGAAAATCGCTTCAGTGGTTATAAAGCGTCAGTTCTATATAAATATGTACGATTATATATAATTAAATTTTATGGATTTTATTTCATAAGTGGTCTAACGTCCCTTTTATATATAACGACATTTCTATATGTTTCCTTTTATATATCAGTGAAATACAGGTAAGTACTCTACAATTTAAAAATTACTCAAAATTAATAAAAGTTAGAAGCTCTTTGAAAATGGCGAAAATATATTGGCATCCTCGGTTTAAGTTGTATCTCAAACTTTTCAAAAGAATTATGTTCGTATGGCGTAACTAATACTTAAATAAGGCATAATGAAAGATAAATTATTGCAATTTGGCTTTTAATTATTAAACTTAACTTCAGTAAGGTAAAGTAGAGTGACTACTAGTATGAGTCATCTATGCACTAAGACCAAAGTAGACCCAATGCGTTCCCAATTGAAATTACCAATGTCTGCCAACCGCCAATCTATTGAGCATTAATCTTCTATAATCCCATCATTAAAAATAAAAGTGATCAAGATGTGATTGACTCTTGAAACTCAAAGCACAGTGAAGTTTTCATTCCTTTTTATATTGCTTTTTGGAAAATTGGAAAAAGAACGTTCTTAATAGAATACTACAACCCACAATGAGTTGATTACTTCTAAAGGTTTCTAAATGAAAAAGAATAGTCACAATAATAATATTATTATAGTACTCTAAAGAGATTTCAGTGTCTCCCTTCTTCGAGGTTTCCATAGAGTAGTTCATTGGGCATAATTTAAAATATTGGATAAATGCTGTTCGTCATTTAATTATAAGTAAAAATTTATTTAAATTCTTAAACTGATGGACTCATATTCGCTTCAAAAAGTAAATGTTTAACTAACATATTTATTTAAATGATATTTAATAAAGAGAATGAAATTAATTTCACTCATTTCCAACATTTTCCATGAGGCATGGGAACACGCTGCATTGAGCTGGTAGCATCCAATGGAACGTTACTCATTCTACTACTTCTCCCATCAAGTTTTCGATCATTTGTATATACTTACCGACCGAGTATAATATTTGTTTTTCCATTCTTTACTAACGGTAGTCAGTGTCGCTGCAGTCTGTGTTACTTGATAAAAAAAAGTAAGATTTTCTATCATTTCTTAGCACCAGGTGACTTCTGTTTTCTTAAGCAAGGACATCTAAATTCACGACAGGAAGTCTAGTGTTCCGTTTAAAGCTCCATTTCGAGTTTGATCTAAGAGGATTACCATATCTAATTGATATGAAAATTCTGCATCAGATTGTGAGAATTAAATGCCATTTTTGGTCGATAGTTCTGTTAAAAGCATATAGAGCGATGAAGAATGACGTCATAATGACTTCTAAAACCCTTACGCTGCTTCCTTCTAGAATCGATATACTAATTGCTGGAATTTTATATTTCCTGCTAAAGAGAATAAGTTCTACCTTATAAGAGTTAATACAGCGTTGCCTCCTACAAAACTGACCATCAACTGCTCCTATAAATATATCTTACTTGCAGGGGCTTTTTAGAAACTGGTTAAAATTAAGAATACACCACAGTTGCTGTTCCAACTTAGAGACCTAAAGCAAGTTGACTAGATTAAAACCGAAAAGTTCTTCAATAACCGCGACGATATAAATATATATTTTTTAATCAGTTACTATCTTATTCCAGCTTTTGTAATAGGTTATTTAAAATATTATATATAAGCCACTTAGCATGTATAGATGAATCAATCATTATACGATATTACATCAGTTGTGCAGAGAACCGGCCGACGGCATAACGATCATAACTACTAAACACTACTATCAGGTGTACCACTTTGCTTCCGCCGTTTCGAAGAATTGGAAAAATGGATTGCTTCATGATAGCATCAAAATAGGACTCCTTTTTTCGAGCTGGGATCCAAAAATTGCCGGGAAGATGGGAGAAAGTTGTCGCTAGCGCAGGATAATACTTTGAATAATATATCTGTTAGCACTTTTTCGCAATAAAGCTTGTAATTTTGGAAGAAAAAAACCGCGGAAGCAAAGCTGTACACCTGATAGCTGCATCTTGTGCTCCAATAACTCTTCCGTACTCTCAGAATGAGCATTCTGAGTAACTAGACTAATACTGAAATTTCTAATTTGACGCCACGCCATTTCTGAAGAGCTTTTACTGTAGATTCAAGTGATTTGAATAAATTTCAACTGTAGAGGGCTATCCATTTCGCAGCTTCAAAAATAAAAGTAAATAAAATTCATTTAAAATATTTTTTACCATGAAATTACTTTTGAAACTTGGCCAATTTCTGCGAAATTCGATCCTTTTTATGTAACTTTAAACCACCTATTGGCACATATCGGGTGGTATCTCAGCCATAATTTGACGAAAGTTAGTTTTTTAGTACTGAATTAAAGATTTATCCAAATAAACACAAGTATTTTCCGTAGCCCCACAAAAAAGGAGTGTAACGGTGTCAAATCGCACGTTATCGGTGGCCAATTGACATCGCCAGGACAAGAGATTACGCGGCCGGCAAATTTCTCTCAAAATTAAACAATATTCGGTTGTGTTGGGTGGCATGTGGATGAGATGGGCCGAGGCCTTAAAGTATCTGTAACCAATTCAATCTCTAGGAATTTCTTGAATATGTTTTTTCAAATCCATTTTCATAACTAAAACAAAACCAGTTTAGTATGACAGTTAATTTTGACAGATGTCAAAATAAAGCACTGTACTTTTTAAGCCACGAAATGGATAAATGTAAATATATATATATATATATATATTACACAAAGCTTGATTGAGCTTCTAAAAACTAAAGAATTGAATATATATACATATACAATATATATATATATATATATTACCAACAAGATAAAAACCAGAATACCAGACGTAAAAAAACCTTTTTGCTTTTCAAAATTTCAGGTACATACGATCATACAAAAAATCACTTGTGTCACATTTCTGTTATTTTTCCATATTTATTAACATCATTTCATCATTGAGCTCATACAATATGCTTTACGCAGTCTTACGAAAGTGTCTGTTCAATGAAAGTACATTATAATTGCAATGTAAGCTGAACATATTCTATGGAGAGTATAAACGGCGAACATAACAATTAATTCTTTAAATGACAATATTTAATAAAACAAAAAAATAAACACAAACTACAAAAATTTTCGCTTATTTTGTTAAGAAAATAACTTTCATATTCAACAATTATATTTTGTTTGTGTAAACAAATCTCAAGTTTGCTAAAAATTTTATTTCCTTAAAGCTTTTCGCATATAATTTCACAAATTTTTGTATTTAGATACACAAAACACGAAACACAAATATTTTATGCGTCTATTCTTTTAAATGTTAATTACACACAATTATGCTTATGTTAATATCTAGAAAAGAAAATTTTGAATTTCAAAAGTTTTTGATTGCTATATTTTTCCCTCTTAAGCCTTGTAAATAGAAAACTTAGTGACAAAAAAAAATGTTTTATAATAGAATATTTAATGTTTATACCTACATGCACATAAAATGATGAAATTAGTCAATTAAAAATTGAGAAATATTCGAACCAAAACTAAATTGATCAATTAAAAAATGAATTCATTTTTTTCAACATTTTTGCTTGTTCTACTTTTTTATACTAATTTGATTATGTTATAATTTTTGTTAGGTTTTGTGCACTAAGTCTAGTAGATTAATCCATTATTTTTGCAGTTGAAGGCTTTATTTACCTCTCGCATAGAAACTCTTATCGGCATTGACAATAATTTGGGACATTTAAACTTTGCAGGCTTCTCTTGAGGCCAATTCTTCACCAGCCAAATCATTCGCCATAGAAAGATGATAGTTTTCCCTTGCCCCAAGAGCCGAACTATAAGACACTCCCAAGTAAGCTCTCGAAGCTTTTGGCGACTTTCTATTGATATGTCCTAATGAAACACTCCTACCCTCATGTTGGCCAAAACTGGGCGCTTCTGTGCGATTGTTTCCTTCAGGCGGTCCAATTGCTGACAATAGAGGTGAACGATTCATAATAGATAACACATAGTACATGATTCCTTGCCAATCCCTTCAAATACACAACAGATCTCTGCGATCACGACCGCTTTCTTCTGACGTTGCTGTAGGTGTTCGGATTTTCGTCGCAGCTTAGACATGAATCGGATTGAAATGCGGTCGCTTGAGCTTCTATCGTGTATCCACCGATTTAAGTGTCATTTTGTATGAAGATATTAGAGAAGGGTTAAAGCAGAAAATATCTTTGAACAGCGTTCGACCGAAAGTCGCTGCAGCGGTTGTAAAGCACCAATTATATGCTCGTATTTATGGACTTTAGAATAAAAAAATGTAAAATTAAAAAAACCTCCAATAGAGTTGCCAGCTGTTTGAAATTTTTCATGCAATTAACTCAATGGAATATTATATTTCGTGCTTATAAACGAACTCGAAACCTGGGTACCGCTAGTCCTCAATAGAATCGCAAGCTCCTCAGGGACATTTTTTAATACTCCAATAAAAGATATTTGACTCTTTATAAAATAATAAATTAATTTTTTTATTTTTGTAAATATAACTTAAAGTTATTATATTCCAGAAAATTTATAATTATTATTTACAAAAAAAAAGATAAATCTCATCATTGTATGTGTATGAATTGGAAAAAAAACTTTCACAAAATCTTAATGCTATTGTAAAATAAAATAAAATAGCTTCCCTCTGCAAAAAATCCCACTAGAAAAACCTTTACAGCTCCTACCAATCACCATTGTACATACATAAATAAACACGAATTTGTTTATATACTTATTTATTTTGCATTATTAGCTAATGAAAATTTGTAAGATTCTTTGTTGTATTATTTAATTTTCTATTTTTCTATTTTTCCATTTTATGCTCCTGCCCCCGCACAATCCGAACCAAAAAAACACAATTGGAATGATATCAAAAACAAAAAAATTTCGTTTATCATCAATTTCAAATGCTAATCGGTTTGAAAAACTCTCAAAAAAATATGAAAAAAAAATTTTAACCAATTCCAAATGCTTGCTTCTCTACCAACCATTTCATTGAACAATTGATATTTAATGAAAAAAATATGTCTAATAATAATTGATTTCAAACACTTATTGACCATTTAATCGATAATTGATTTAATTGATGATCGATTAATTTTTATACAAAAAAAAATATCGAAAATTCAAATTCAAAAAACCAAATACAAAAAACAAAAATAAATTATATAGAATACGCCACCGTCGGCTATATGGCAAAACGAATTCAAATGCGAAAACAAAGATTTATGGCGATCCAAAAGATAGCTGAACAAAAAAAGCAGCAACTGGATGGGGTGCAACCACCGCCCAATCCAAATCCGAGCGCGGGTGATCATGGGCATGGGCATGCACATACACATAGTCATGCTCATCCTCATGCGCCAAAACAAACAGTGAGTAACCGACCAATTGGCTTTTCAAATATGCAACAAAACGTTGGTACGCGCGGTTGCTCGATAGTGGGACCCTTGTTCCAGGAGGTGAGATTCAAGGTGCACGACCCGAAGGCACATTCCAAGGGCGGTACGCTCGAGAATACCGTGAATGGCGGACGTGGCGGACCGCCAGTGGGACCACCCGGACCGGGACAACAAGGTGGTGGCGGCGGCGGCGGCGGAGTCGGTGGTGGTGGCGGCGGCGGTGGAGGTGGAGCGCCCGAAGGTGGGGACGCCGAAGCGGCAGTACCATCCCATTTATTACACCCGGGCAAGGTAAAAAAAGTAATTTCTAGCCCAAACATTAACACTCTGAGAATTGTTTGACTGTACTAATCGTTTGTTTTCTTTTCATTTCTCTATATCACCACTCACCACACTCCATCTATATCCTTGTTTACTCCTTCATGCATTTTCATTTATCCCATTTGATATTCACATTGACAGGATATCAACAAGCTGTTAGGCATTACGCCTTCAGATATTGACAAATATTCGCGTATAGTGTTCCCCGTGTGCTTCGTTTGCTTCAATCTAATGTACTGGATCATCTACTTGCACGTGAGCGATGTAGTCGCCGATGATCTAGTGTTGCTCGGCGAGGAGAAGTAAAGCAAATGACGATGCAAAGCACACAAGCTTGCCGCTAAGCAGCAAGCAGCGATATGCGAAAGCAGAAAAGCAGCTACGCTTGTATGCAGTAGAACTGCAACCAGAGGCGGTCATGCGGAATGCAGGCGTGGCGAAAACAGCGAGCGTTTCGAACTAATTAAATTAAGTTTATATTTTAAGCAAACACAATATAGTAAAAGTTTAGCATAATTATCATACATAAAAAAAAAAATATTAAAAAAAAAAACAAAAAATATACGCACGTGAAGATAAAACCAAAATAAATTAGGAAATTCAGTCAAGACGACGACGAAGAAAGCAGTAGTTAAAAAATAATAATAATTTATACTGTGCAAATCAGTAGAATATGAACATAGGGTTGAAGGGGAGCCTAGAATGAAAAATCAAAATTCAAATTTGTTAAATTCTAAATAAGCGTGTGACGCTGCTGTTGGTGTAAAGCAGCGTTATGCGCGCGACCACTGGCAAAACAAAAACAAAATACTTTATAGCAAAGTAATAAGGCGATTGAGAGTAAACGAATAGCGTAAAGCTAGCGCTCATACATATAATACAAAAATATACATAAATAATAATTAACAAAAAATAAACACTTAAACAATGATTCAAAAGTGTTGATAGCTCAAAAAATTAAAACAAAAAACTATTTATAATAAATATTTAATAAATTACTACCGCACACATGATATAAGAAACAATATGTGGAGTTAACGAAATGCCAGTGAAATGCTTAAAATAGTAAAGAATATAAATAAAAAATTAGTTAAATGAATAGCAAAACAGAATTTTACAACAACAAATTCAAATAACACACGGTAATGACAAACACACGCACTGTTTCATATATACAATGTAAGTAAATACAAGTGAGCGTACATTTTATTAAAATTCAAGTTTAAACAATTTTTTCGTATAAAAATAGCAATTTAACTTTGTAAAATAATTATTGTTTAATTACTTCATTTAGTTTTATTTTTAATGTATGATTCTTGCAAATGGAAAAACAAAGAATAAGCAATTACACACTTAATAAAGCAGTTAATTCAATTATTAACTAATTATATTTAAATTTTTAATAATCAATTTATTTTAGTAATGAAGTGAAATTACTTTAAATTTTATTTAATTAAAATTTAAAAATATAATTTTAATTTTTAATTACTGCCTTCTCGACATTTATGAAGCAAAACAGAATTTAAATAATATTTAATAAATTAATAGTAAATCTGTTGGTTTTCAAGACCCAGTTATTAGTGCCGTTGCTCATTCCTCAATAAACTAAGTGACCCACGCTGTCGTAGTTGTGACTATCAACAGTGACGAGAGAGTTAGGCCGGCAATGCGATGACGGTTTTATAGCGGGAGATATTTCGTCTTGTCCTCGTTCATCACCCGACACATTTACCTCGCTTCCTTAAACAATCTGGAGAAAGATTTGATTGAAGATTGTATTGTAAATTATCTGTTTTGCTCTGCAGCTCGCTTCATTTTCTATAGCATTACGTTGAAGAAGCCACCTGAGAAAAAGTCGCTCTGTCTATATCAAGCGGCTCGAAGCTCCTTTTTCTGCTATCGAAGGCAGCTTTCGATTCCTAAATCGAATAAGTCGATCGCCTTTCCTTTTCAATATTAATTTTCGTTCTCAAAAAAGATTAAAATAAAAAGCTCAATTTATTTCAAGTCTTTAATATGTATATATGAAATTTGTTAAAGCACATTCGCAAGCTCAAAAATGCCGTCAATAAATAATACAAACAAAAATATTTACTAGTTAAAATTCTTTTGATTTATTAATTTATATTAATAATAATATTAATTAATTCTCATTTTTTATTATTATTATTTTCAATTTTTTTAAACATGAATTTAAAGCAATAACTAAACATAATTGTATAAACATATGTATGTTTTACTTATTTATAAAAAAAAAATTAGTAAATTTCTATACTTTAGCGCTTCCAAAACTATTTGCCAAATTTTTGAAAAAAAAAGAGAATGCTAAAAATATTTAAAAACTATTTATTAGCAGAACGTTAAAGAATTTCTAGGGCACAAAACGAATTGCAGTAATAGCAAAAAGCACACACACTTACACATGCGCGCGCACAGCGGTAACACCGGCGATAGATGTACGTATGTAAATGCGAAAATACTCATAAGTGCTAGCTTATATAAAATTATAGGCAATTAAGTTAATTTAGTGGCGTTTTCCCCATTTTGTATTGAGTTATTAAAAATATATTTAAGCAAAAATTTTAATGTTAAAAATTACTGTTTTAAAAATAATTACTTTTTTATTTTCAACACGCTTATTTATAAATTCACAATTTTCCAAACCTGTTCGTAATACACTGAGCATTCGTGCATACATACATACACGTACCAAATGGCACACTCATACGAAAAATATATGAAAAATAACAAAAGTATATATAAAAATTTTAAAGCAACAACAGAAGAGTTGATTAATAATATATAACTGTATGTTAGTAAATTAATAAAATGAGAAAATAACCCATACATGATTTAGACTAAAGAATCCTTGAAACTTGACATAATCCCCTAACCTATATATGTATGTATTTGTATGTATACCCAAGCGCAAATGAACAATATCCCCATGCATATACTCGTAATATTTACGTGTTAAAAGTATAAAAAAAAAAATCAACACAAAATCGAATTCAAAATTATATATACCTACAAATATATGTTTACATCCAGAGAAAAAACTATTGCAAATATTGCAAGCAAACTAAACTAATTACTTTACAATGAAAAAACCTACTGACAATGATTATATATACATCTATATATATATAGGTTTGTGTAAACACCATTTACTAAATATTATATGCATGTATGTGCATAAAACCCCAAAAAACAATACTTTGAAAATACATAAAACGGATGAGAAAAAGAATTAAAATTTAAAAACAAATTAAAAATTATTTCCATACATTCTTGCGCACTAAAACCAAGTCACAGTAAGAGAAAATAGTGATAAAAATTTTATAATTTAAATTTGCTTTAATTGTACATGTTTTTTTACTGAAAAAGGAATTCTCCGCACACACACACACACATGCGCACCACAACCCATCTCAAACAGGAATATTTCGAAATAATTTAAATCACTTTTTTTTTGGCACCAACCACTGTTTCAATGTTTGTACATACATATAGCATTTTATATGACAAAAAAGATTAAAAACAAAATTTTAAAACGAACAACTGCAATAGTACATAAATTAAAAAAGAAGAAGAAAAACTAGTTTAAATTATTGCAATAACAAAAGTGTATAACATATAAAAAATAAAAATTATTTAAATAATAATTAAATTAAAAATTAATAAAAAATAACAAAATACAAATAAAAAAAAAAATAAATAAATAAAAATCAATTATTTAGCAAAATATGTAAAACTAGTTGAATATATAGACCAAAAGAGTCCTCTAAGAAGAAAGTCTGGACTAAATAAAACTGCCTACATATATACAAAAGACAAGAAAACAAATATATATATATATAAAAATCACTGAAAAAACAATTTATATATATATATATGTGTACATAAAAATAAAATTTAAACCAAAAACAAAAATAAAATTAAGGCTAACGATAAAATACAACAAATAACAACTGTTTAAACTACAATATATAAGAATTACAACAACACTAATAGTGAGCGTATGTACACAAAAACTGCGCTAGAAAATGAAGAATTAAAACCTACACATGCACACACACATATACACACAAAACCTGCACTTACGCTACTTAGCTACGGAAGAGCACGCCATACAACTGCAACAACAATACAAGTGATCGTTACATGATTACTAATACCTAGATAGATGGGCGAAACATCAGCACATTTACCAACTCCACACACAACTATACCGGCAATCTTCTTCAAGGCAGTTTTGTACGACTACAGTCGCGTGCAATAAATTATGGTATAAACATAGATTACATAGAATACAAATCACGAAACATAACATACAAGTAAAAATATATACATATAAATACAGTAAAACTTGAGTAGGAGCAAAACTTCGCAACTAAATACATACATACATATGTAATTTATTGTAGAACTATAAGTTTTACTATAAAATAGTTATAGCAGTTAGTTATATATATATATTTATTAAAAGCAGCAAAATTCAATACGCAAATGTACCAAAAATAATATTTTTTACACTTCTTCAAAATTAATTTTATTTAATTTTAAATTTTTTTCCATAAATTATTGGAAATTTCAACAAACTTGCATACATTCAATATCAAATCTCAACAGCAAGAACCATCGGGAATAGGATATTTCTAATCAAAGTCAGTCAAAGTCAGTCAGCCATAAGTACTAGCTGAATGGCTAGAGTTGAATAATCTACTTCTTCGTAATTCGTTATCTCTCTTCGCCGCTTAGCGTCACGCGAGGATCTTTCTTACCCTCTGCTTCCACCCGAAGTAGTCGTTTCATCCTTTCGGACGACACGACCTAGCCAGTTGTCTCAACATTCGCTGAACTATATCTATGTTATCATTCTAACTGCGATACTCGCCATTACCAATGCATAACGAACCATAAATCGTTCGCAAAACTTTTCTCTCGAAGATACTTCTGCATCATACAGCCAAATGGGGAATGGTGCGAGACTTGCAGAGTTTGTTTTTGGTTTGTCGAGAGAGGACTTTACTTTTCAACAATCTACTCAGTCTTAAGTAGCACCCGGTGGCTAAGGTGATTCTATGTTTGATTTAAAGGCTAACATTGTTGTTGGTGTTAATGCGTGTTCATAGTTAGGCGAAGTAATCTACAATTTAGAACTTACGACTGTAAATAGCGACGTGAGAACCGAGCCACAAATGCGATGACTATTTGTTTAGATGACAAGAGACTGTCTTTTCTTTGCTCACTATCAGACGCATATGCTTCGCATCCTTATCCAGACTGTAGAAAGCAGAAATAATGGCGCGGTTGTTAAGGTCAATAATTTCATCGCCATATGTCAGCAATTGTTAACTCTTGTATATGATTCGGATTATTTCTAGCATCAAATTGAGGAAACCACAGGATAAAGCGTCAAGTCTTTTGTTACAGAGCGTCTCAATCCCGACAGCGCCACTGGGATTTTTGATTGGTGATGTTTTGATTCTTTTCTTGCTGGTCTTTTCAAATTACAAATATAAGATCCAATCAATTTGTGAGCTTTAGTCTTTCACACAATACACTCGATAGGATCTTGTATGCCATATTATAGTAGACTAATCCCATGATAATTGATTCCCTTGGATTGATTTGTGCTTTCGCTGATATTCATTAAACCTTTGTATTAATATCCATCCAGAGGTAATTATCTACCCTAGAACTGTCAGAAACTCTTCATAATCAACTTAACAATAGGTTACAGACTTGACCACTCTGGCAATTTACTGAAAATGGGTCTCGATTAAACTGACACCGAGTAAGTGCTAACTAAACTAAAGATCCCTGCATTTGTGGTAAAACCATCAAGAAGCGCACCGTAAATTGGAGGAGCAACTCGGCCGAAAATTGTTTCAGCTTATATTAAGAGAGAAGTAACAGTAATATCCATTTTCGCTTAAGGTTGCTCAGCAAGACAGTAAAAATAGTGATTCCCGAGGAATATTTGTCATGCGGATGTCTAGATTCGTAGTGTTCCATAATATGTTATAACACCAGTCGTTATATTAAATAAAAACCGGTCTGGAAGCATAAGATTATTAACCTCTTTGCCCTCTCTGTTCAAGTTGATCGTGATTTTTTTCAGTCATTTAATGTCAGAATATTCTAGGAAAGGCAAGTTCTTCTGGTTCAAGATTTACAAGGGCTAAAAGGGTTTCTTCCCTCCTCTCGTTCATCTGCGGTGTACGCGAACCCAGTTCATCTAATTTTTTTCTAAAATTGATCGTACAAATCTAATGGTTGCTTTGTTATCAGAATATATCATAATTGATTGTATTCTCATTGAAGATTTGAGCAGCCATTCGATGACTTCAATTATTACCATAAGGTCTGCTTGTAAGACTCTGTAGCAGTCTGTTAGTATTATGCTTATACTAATTGAGAGCATCTCTAAGTGGGTTTCACTGCTTGAACCGTCAACGAGCTCTGAGTTGTATGCGATGGAGACTTTGATCCAAGACTTTTGTATTTTTCATGTAGAAAAAAATTTTCAGACAGATTTTGGAGTTGGTGTAGTCCAGCTCTTTGGTACGTTTATTTATGTGGCTGCAGGTGGAAGAAATTTTATTCTACTTTAAAATTTTTCCATTCTTCAATGACTCGCTTATTTATACACATATACGAGTATGTATGTACATTATATTATCATTTATTATATTATATTATTTACTATAAATATAAATGTACAGACACGAGTAATCCTTTGTAGATTTGTAAGTGAGTTTGTAAATACAACAAGTTTTTATATATGCTTAGCGAAATGCAATAAAAACGCTCACAGTAAAGCGTTATAAGCAGCGTAGAAAATAAGTATGTACATATATAGTTAAGATAATGTAATTCTTAAGTATATAATGCATACATAAACAAACACACATAAAATACATTATAATTATAATGGATTAAGTACATAATTCAGTAGATATTTGTGTGTTTGTAAATAAAATATGTAGCTTGTAGATATCCATATTTTAAGCATAATTCGAGTAGTATTTATGTTTATTTTTAAGATTGAATAATTTCACTTTTATAGCGGTCGGTTTGCACAAATACATACATATGAATACACATGAAATGAGTTATGCAATGTACTATGTAGTAGTTATATTATACTCGTACATACATACATATATGCAAGTATCTAAATAGTTTAAAATTGTTTTAACCATTTCATAAATACAAATAAATATACATAGATATGTAAGTATGCGAAATTGTAGTAAACAATATGATTTCCCTTGAAACTCATTCATTTTTACTTTTACAATATTTTATTTAAATTTGGTTACGATGACTCCATGCTATATTTCTTACAAATACATTTGCCAAAATTTACTAGTTTTGTTTATTAAATTAATGCATTTTTATGTAATTAAAATTCCAATAATTCTAAAACTATGGTAAGAAAACGCAATATTATTTAATATTTATCGTTTTATACTTGATTATATGAAAGTAATATCATTTGATTTGCTGTATCTCGACATACATGCATATATATGTACTTACATATATTAAGGCTTTGAAGCAAGGCAGAAGCGTAATGTTAAACTTTTATTAAAAAGATATAAATCGATTCGGTTGAAACATGTGGAAAAGTTCTCGTCAAAGCCGATATTAAATTGAATTTTATTTTCTTTTTAGACGTTACGAAAAACTGTCGTTGATGTTAAATCGTTAACAGATAATATTAA